TTTGAGAAGACATAATTGCTTTGTTAGTATGCTTGAAGTATTATTATTTTTATGTCAATATGAACTTTTGTCTTGAATCTTTCGAATCTGAATATTCATATCACAATTAAAAAGATTTGCATTGAAATTATGCCAAGTAGCACTCCGCATCAAAAATTCTCTTTTTATCATTTACCTACTTGAGGACGAGCAGGAATTAAGCTTGGGGATGCCTGATATGTCTCCAACGTATCTATAATTTTTGATTGCTCCATGCTATATTATCTACTGTTTTAGACTATATTGGGCTTTATTTTCCACTTTTATATTATTTTTGGGACTAACCTATTAACCGGAGGCCCAGCCCAGAATTGTTGTTTTTTGCTTATTTCAGCGTTTCGAAGAAACGGAATATCAAACGGAGTCCAAACGGAATAAACCTTTCTGGAACGTGATTTCCTTCCCGAATATGACCCAGGAGACTTGGACCCTACGCCAAGGAAGCTTCGAGGTGGCACGAGGTAGGGGGCGGGCCCTATACCCCCAGGTGCCCCCACCCTTGTGGGCCCACCGAAGCTCCACCGACGTACTTCTTCCTCCTATATATACCTACGTACCCCCAAACGAACGGGGACGGAGCCAAAAACCTAATTCCACCGCCGCAACTTTCTGTATCCACGAGATCCCATCTTGGGGCTGTTCCGGAGCTCCGCGGGAGAGGACCGTCATCGCGGAGGGCTTCTACATCATCATAGCCTCTCCGATGAAGTGTGAGTAGTTTACCTCAGACCTTCGGGTCCATAGTTATTAGCTAGATGGCTTCTTCTCTCTTTTTGGATCTCATACAAAGTTCTCCCCCTCTCTTGTGGAGATCTATTCGATGTAATCTTCTTCTTTTTGCGGTGTGTTTGTTGAGACCGATGAATTGTGGGTTTATGATTAAGTCTATCTATGAATAATATTTGAATCTTCTCTGAATTCTTTTATGTATGATTGGTTATCTTTGCAAGTCTCTTTGAATTATCTGTTTGGTTTGGCCAACTAGATTGGTAGTTCTTGCCATGGAAGAAGTGCTTAGCTTTGGGTTCGATCTTGCGGTGTCCTTTCCCAGTGACAGAAGGGGTAGCAAGGCACGTATTGCATCGTTGCCATCGAGGATAACAAGATGGGGTTTATTTCATATTGCATGAATTTATCTCTCTACATCATGTCATCTTGCTTAAGGCGTTACTCCGTTTTTAACTTAATACTCTAGATGCATGCTGGATAGCGGTCGATGAGTGGAGTAATAGTAGTAGATGCAGAATCGTTTCGGTCTACTTGTCATGGATGTGATGCCTATATACATGATCATGCCTAGATATTCTTATAACTATGCTCAATTCTGTCAATTGCTCAACAGTAATTTGTTCACCCACCGTAGAATACTTATGCTCTTGAGAGAAGCCACTAGTGAAACCTATGGCCCTCGGGTTTATTCTCATCATATCAATCTCCATCACTTTAATCTTGCTTTGCTTTTTACTTTGCCTTTTACTTTTCGCTTTGCATCTCTATACCAAAAATACCAAAAATATTATATCTATCAGATCTCACTCTCGTAAGTGACCGTGAAGGGATTGACAACCCCTAATCGTGTTGGTTACGAGTAGCTATCGTTTTGTGCAGGTACAAGGGACTTGAGCGTGGCCTCCTAGTGGATTGATACCTTGGTTCTCAAAAAATGAGGGAAATACTTACGCTACTCTGCTGCATCATCCTTTCCTCTTCGGGGAAATCCAACGCAAGCTTAAGAGGTAACAAGCGCCAGTGCACCGCCCTGCGCCACTTCACGGAGCGCCGACGCGGCTGCGACGAAGGCGGAGTCGTCGTCATCTGCGACAGCGGCGACGACGACGCGCCGCCGCCACCAACCCGCGTTGGCAACGCCAGTCAGGGGTCCACCAGGGACGGCCGCGTCAAGGAGGAGAAGTCCGACGACGCCGGCGACGATGGCGGCGACGACGGCGACTACCCAGCCAGTTTCTTTTTTAGATTAGTTATCTATTTTGCTATGTAATGAAAATCCGCGAACATGTCTAATATATGCCCAAGTTTGCCAAAATTTATCGTGTTTAGCCGAACTTCGCCGAACTATGCCGAAATTTGCTATACAAATTTTATTTTTAAACGCGCCTGGGGGCGGCCCTGGGGCCGGCAGCTGGGGACCAACTCGCCCCCAGGCCCAATTTTTGCGCCGGCTCACCCCCAGGCGGCGATTTTAGGCGTCCTCTGGGGGGCCAACGGCTGGAGATGCTCTTACAAACCCCTTGGAGGTTGTATCCATCCACCTCTTTTGATAGTAGTCTTCGGTGATATGGTCATAATATAGTTTAACGTAATAGCATGAATCCCCATAGAAATCTGGTTGACATCTTGGGTTTTCTCTTTATGGACTAATTTTCGCCTCTCCCACCATAAATACAAGGTTGTCTTTGCAATCATCTCACAAACATTCCGACTACCCAAAATAGTTAGCTCATTTTCAGGTATAGAGAGTAAAAATTCGAGGACCGCCTCACGAGCATAATCAACTTCCCAAGTTCTTTTAATGACCTGATATAGTCCCAGCACTCTCCACACCTCCTTTGCTTCCTGACATTGGAATAACATATGCTTTGTATCCTCTGGTCCCAAGGGACAAGACGGAGAACTGGGGCGGGGGGCTTTTATGTGCCTATTCACCAAAGTAACTCCACATGGAAGAGTGTCGTGCAACGTGCGTCATATGAATTTTATTACCTTCGCTGGACAAGATAACTTCAAAATCTCACTCCAAATAGGATTAATAGTTAAAGATCCCATATCATCAGTTCTTCTAAGTTTTCTCCCGTGTTGGTGTTCCCATTCCATAGCATAGGCTGGTCGAACCCAAAATACTCCATTTTTTTAATAGCTCCAAGCAACAAAATCTAACATATCATGTTGGGAAAGCGGAATTGCAAGGAATGCGTCAACTGGCCACAACTTTTGTGTAACTAGATTTTTGTCCTAGTTTAGCAGGGTCAATTATATCACCTACCCTTGAGATCAAATTACTCCTTCAAGGTGTGATTAATTTTCTATTTGCACTATTAGGGATCTAAGCATCTTCCCAAACATCGATATTGTGACCATTTTCAACACGCCATATATAACATGATATAGACAATTAACCCCGTCATTATACTTTGCCAAGTAAAAGAGGATCGTCCCTTCTTTAACTTCGGATTCAACAAATCACCGTCAGGAAAATACTTAGCTCTCAACACGGTAGCACATAAGGACTCTGGATTCTCAAGAATACGCCAAACTTGTTTTTCCAACATTGCCAGGTTGAAACCGTGACTATCCCGGAATCCCATCCTCCCTTGATTTTTTGGTACACACATTTTTCATCAAGCCATCCAATGCATCCGCTTCTGATTGTCCTCGCCTCCCCACCAAAAATGAGACATCGCAACAGTGATTCTCTTGCAAGTTTTTTTAGAAATTTTAAAGACGGACATCACATAGGTGGGGATCACTTTACAACAGATTTCAGGAGGATCTCCTTCCCTCCTCTCGATAGAAGTTTTTCTTTCCATCCACTTACCTTCATGATGATATGGTCAATCAAGTACTGGAAACAGTCAGACTTGTCCATACCCACATTAGCCGGTAGGCCCAAATATTTATCATTCGACGCTTCAGTCATAATATCAAGAGTGGTACAAAGTTTCTCCCTGATATTCACTCTCGTGTTGGGGCTAAAAAATATGCTTGATTTATCAACACTCGCCATTTTCCCAGAGGCGGTACAATATGAATCCAAAATGGCTTTTAACGCCCCGACATTGTGTATGTTAGCTTTCATCAGCATCAATGAGTCATCCACAAATAGAAGATTCGTCATAGATGGAGCCTCCATACATACCTTCACACCTTCAATTTTCCTAGTCTCCTCCGCATGTGACAAGAGAGCGGTTAGGCCCTCGGTACATACCAATAATAAATAAGGAGATAACGGGTCTCATTGTAATCCTCTGGAGGGCTTAAAGCTCGTAGTTTCTTCCGTATTGAACCTAATCGATATTCTAGTGGAAACACATTGCATAATAAAATTGACCCAACTCTCTTGAAGCCCAATTTCAACATAATCTCCTTCAAGATGCAACATTGGTTAACTTGTCAAACTCTCATATCAATGAGAACACTATCACAACACTAGTGAAACTGTTTGGGGCCCCGGAGTGGTGAATTACCGGGGTTTATGGTCCGCACTCTAACAAGCACAAAGTAGAATTCGTGCAAGAGCTTCTAGCCATCAGTGATTTCCATGAAGGGCCTTGGGTGCTTGTAGGGGATTTTAACCTTCTTGTCAACTCCGGAGACCGGCTTTGTGTTCCTACATGGTGGTACTGCTATATCATGAAAGTCTTCCATAACCGTCAGTTTGCCTATGCAACTGACGCATCTCTATTCCTCTGCCGAACCGACACATCTCTCCCAAGTGTCGCATCTGTTCAGATGGTATATACTGTAACAGTAACGATCGAATGAAAAGAAGTTACCATTCACTTGGAAGAAGACAGACATTCCACGATGGACCTAGTATTATCAATAGGATAATCTAATCTGGGGAGTGCTGCCGTATGGCGGTTCCAGCGGAGCTCCTCCCCTAGAGGAAAGAACCCAAAAACAACCTGAATAAAACGAAGCATGCGAACTGACGACATTTTCACAGAAATCAAAAGGTAACTATTTTACATTGCTCTGCACAACTGCATGGCAATCAAGAGAGAAACGACACCTCTAAGGAACAGATTCAAAATCCGTTAGGAGTTACACATGGACATGGGAGCATCACAGATCAAGGGCCTATCACACTCTATCAGTCTAATGCAGAGCTAAATCTGATCGACCTACTTCTCCCCTTTACAGGCTCTTTACACGAAAAAAAGGAAAATAAGAAAAATGATAATATTACCAAACACCAATGACAATCAAAACAAACGCCCTGGCTAGTACAGGTGCTCATGCTTCACTCGCCCTTTCAGAATGCCTGGAACAGGGGGTGGTGGTGAGCTTGGTAATCTATTTGTGCCATTACTTGCCATTGCAGATTGTTGTATCTGATGCCGATAAATATTCGGCGTGCTCGAGCCCTCGCATCGATTTGATATCGGCTCCGAAGTACCGGCATTCTCTTCTTTTCCATACGAGTTCAGTGCTTTTAGCACATACGAGTCATCGTGCAACTCAAATGGGGTGCTGCGGATTCAGAAATGCACGTGTCAAAATAGTCAGGACGCCTTGTGTTGATCTAAGAAACAGAAACATAATAGATTCATAGTGAATCATTTCTTTCAAAAGAATTTATTATATGATGATTGGATATGTTCTATTCTTCACTTCTTAGACAAAATCGACAACCCCACTTGGCTTTTTCCATCTGTCTACCCACCATGAGACCGACCAAACACGTGTATCAATATTAGTTGGCATCAAGTCTAAACTTGAAAATTGTTTCAGCGGCACCTTCTGGTTACTAGAAGCCGCTCCAGTTTAATCATATCACTGCATTATGCTATCATCAAATTTTGATCTAACAGCTGAGATTTTATTTCCCATTATATCCTTCCCATATTTTAAATGTGATAAGAGGCCTGCCCTTCCAGTCATGGCAAGAGAAAAAGAAAAGCCAGGTATTCTTAGATAAACTGGAAAGCTCTATCTCCAGAGGAAAGTAAATAACAGAATTCTTGTCTTACGTATTAAAGTCAAAATGCACCAGTTGCATATCTTCTGATATTTCAACTTCGACAGTTGCATGAGGGCGTGTCTGCAGGATACAAAAAAACTGTCATTTAGCCTGACATTATGCACAGAAAGCAGAACTGTAAATAAGAGAGTAAAGAATAAGTAATTTGAAAATTATTCACCTGGATAAGGATGAATGGCAAGGCCACTCCACCCGAAGGAATGTTTCCTGAACCATACAGCTGCTCATTTCGGTTTATTAAGTTCTGCATACCTAGATACTTCATATACCAGAGACATCCATAAATATATCAATCACAAATTTGACCATGAGATAAATAAATTTCAAAATAAGAAAGATTGACTCTCAATCTAGACCAACAATCCTTGGTAACATTTTCTATTCCAACATTAAACCCTAAGAGCAGCCTTTGTATTGCTTACTTATTACTCCCTCTGTAAAGAAATATAAGAACATGTGGAGAGTAGGAACGGCCGCTTACTGCCAATTTTATGGTCGAAATAGCCAAGGGATGGATTTGCATTTTTAAGACAGTGGGCTACTAACAAGTTACTCCAATTTATCCACTACTGAAAGAATGGAATTATCTAATTAATACTGCAGAGTCCCGGTCTTCACGCTAGAACGTCAGGACCATTGATTTTGAGAGGTCAAGGCCAGGAACCAGCCAAATTTTAGTTTGTTGAACTCTGGTCAGAACTACATGTGAATTCGATCTTTCTTCCTTAATCTCAAGCAGCAAAGATCATAACAAACGTAATTTCAGTTTTTGAGTAGCATGGAACATCACAAAAAAAAGAAACAAAATATGCAGAATGCTGGTCTGTGAAGAGTAAATAATTGACAGAAAGCAGGCGGACATATAAACAATTCCTAAAAGCTTGAGAACATCCTCTTATTATTAACATATATCAAATATTTATTCTGCGGCATACTCAAAACTGTAGACAGGGAACTGGGTCAATGAGGTGGACCCCAGTATTGGACTTGAGCTAAGCATGCATATTGAGACACAATGGTACACGGTACACCAAATAAATGCTTTTTTGTTAGGACATTATGTTATGTCAGAGCCACGTGATCTGAATAGTACAGTACAATAAGTACACCGAACATTTCATATGGTTCATTTAACATAATCAAAGGAAAACAGGAGAAGTCATATCCTTACTTGATCTTGTAGCTCCTGCAAATATGCACTTTTCTTTTCAATCCTTGCTTTCACTCCGGCGAGATCCGACTTTAAATAGACACAAATTGATGAATAATAATACTACAGAAGGTACATCTAATGTCAATAGCCATCGAGGGAAAATAGACACAACCTGCAGCTCTTCAATATCATTTATACTAGTCCGAGGCAAGCCTTTCCACTGTATTTCCTTCTTATCCTTAGATATAATGTCCATAGCCATCAGAACATTCAGTGCATCATAAACCCTCCTTCGAATATTTTTCTCATCATATTGTTGCTGCATTTTAACACAGTGAGCACATACACGACAAAACAACTAACTGATGCAAAGGGCATTCATATTTCTTAACTGCATTCGGATTATCAGGATCTGGCGGTTCAATATTGTTATTGGGGTCTGTAAACTCAGCAACAAGTTCATCTGCCACCTGACAAAAAAGGTAAAATGTATGAGCTCTAACATTTTAGTTTCATCAATAATCTACATCCTAGAGATTTCAAGCAACCAGTACAAAAAGAAAGAAAGAAATGTAAATATCATTATCGGCACAGTAATGAAACAGGATAGGTTTCACAGTTTCAAGGAACTCCAAACATCAAAATGCATATATTGAAGGTAGGATACCAGTTTAAAGAGTAGTAGTAGATGGGGGATAACTCACAAGACTAGCGGATTACAATGACTTTCATCACAAAAGATCTTAGTGATCAAATGGTGATGTTACACCATGGTGTGCATCTGTGTTTGCAGTTTCATGATATCAAAGGCATGCAAGTTTGATTAGAACTAGTATGAGAACCAATCACCCTCAAACTGATATAGGGCTGCGTTGATTAAACCAGGTGGACCACATGAGCAAGCCAACTCAATGTTATGGCTAGTTCTCCCCTATACTGTGTGGAAAATGCACATTACTCTATTTCAATAACTGGTTGGATCTTAAATATGGAGCAACGAGAAAACGTATGCGAAGGAATAGGGTCACATATCAAACGATGGCCACTTCACTCCAGTCGCAAGCCTAGCCTTAGGCATCCCCCTCCTTACGGTTAAGGGTAATGACTTCAAACATGGCCAGCTCCTATAGTGTGACAGGCAGTGTATACAAGGCCCGGGAACGGATTCACCGCCGTATGGCTGACCGGCGATTACTAGCGATTCCTGCTTCATGCAGGCGAGTTGCAGCCTGGTTTCTGGTTAATATATGGCAAAACGCATGCGGCCCACACAAATGATGAAAAAATAACAACAGGAATTTTGAGCTAAAAACTAATAAAGCACTAACCTCATTATATGTTGTTCTCCCTTTACTTTCAACTTTCTCGCAAACTGCAAAACACCAAACAGAACACATTGTGATACCTCTGATGTTGGCAGAAAGTGTACCTCTACTCAATAGGCATGACCTCTAGAATGGACTACAAATGAATGAACAACAAAACGGAAATAGACAATAAAAACAAGCTCTGCTCATTGTTTGAACTTTCATTTGTGCTGTTAATGGTCAAATTATAAATGTGAACATGATACCTTGAATTAAACAGGTACTAATACAGAAAGGGAACAATTCGACTGACCTTTCATACTGAACTGTCGCAACCCCCGGCCACCTTTATCAGGACCAACTGCTGCCGCTCTTCGCTTCTTCTTCTTGATGCTGTTTGTGAAAACACTTAGTGCACTAAACCAATTGATGCCAGCTATGGTAAGTATCCTTAGAAGTACTCCCTCTGTAAAGAAATATAAGAGTGTTTCTCTAGTGATCTAAATGCTCTTATATTTCTTTACGGAGGGAGTAGAAGTTTAAGCTACAGTTAACTACGAAGCGGCAAGCAGCAGTTTCCATTATTTGATGATTCCAAGTAAATATAAGCGTATATAGGATGGATATTAGATGAGTAAACCGAAGAGAGACACAGAATTGCACATTAACTTCAATGCAACCTTATACAATCTGCAACTATATGGCAGAACAGAAACCGTACGACTGATATTTTACTGATCAACATGACAGTGCACACCAGTATGAGTCTACGAAATAAGGATCGGATCTAACTCCAATTACAGCAAGGCTAGCGTGCAAGACGTAATCCGAAGAACAGCCACGGAAAACACTACGGATCAGCGAAAACTCTAATATCCAGCAGCATCTGTCGCTAGAAGGCAATTTGGGATCGCGGTAGATGGCAGATGGGGAAACTCAATCTGTCAGGCAACCCGAGCAGAGCGATGTCCACGAACCTGATGGGGGCCTGCGAGGAAGGCGCGTCGTCGCCGTTGATGTCGAGGTTGTTGAGGCGGAGGAAGGCCGTGCCGTCGCTGGCGGGCGTGGACGCGGCGGGGCCCGGGCCCGCGCCGTTGGCGGCGGCGGGGCCCTGCTGCTCGCTGCGGCTTGACGGGGAGCCGCCGGCGCTGCCGCCGCTGGTGGAGGCGGAGTGCGCGGGGCCGCTGGAGGGCGGCGGCGTGCCCACGGG